GACATTAAACAGTTTTAAATGATGTTTAACACTTATATGTAGGAGGGTTTTAGCGGGACAAGCATAACAAAAGAATGACAAAGCATAATGTGCATTACATGAATGGTTTTGCTCCTGCCGTTTTATCGAAGACAGAGATTGCGGAGCAGATTGAATCTTCTTGTAACCATCAGATAATCCCCCGCATCCACTCAGCTTTCTGCTTTATTGATTCATGTGGTGATGGACACTGCTCTTCAATGCAATGTGAAAGGGCTGTATCTCACTGAGTCTGTATCTGACTAAGTCCTGAGAGAAACCCAGAGTCTGCTGGTGGAGTTATCAGATAGATGCTCTCCCCTGATCATCCTTCCAGTGATATTCCAATATAATCCAGGCAGGATCAGGTGCTCTGGGCTGCTTTGGATACTAAGGGATTACTGGAGTCCTGCTTTTTATAGAAGATCAATATAATCTGACATTTTGCTTGCAGTTTTACTCTGATGATGAGAAATCAGAGACATTACCTATTGAGAGGAAAGAAAAGGCATCAGGAGGGATTTTAGTCTTGAATAAAGAATTACATTTTAATTTATAAAATGTTATCGGATTAAAACATAGTTTTATTTTATTATGAAGTACGTTTTTATTGTATTATTTTCTAAATACATATTTCTAGTTTTATTTTACCACAAGGCACATTATTTAAAGAAGATTTGTCTTCATAATCTCGTCAAAACTTGCTCCGTCTTTATGCATCATGATAATACAGAAAGACTGAAATTGTGATTATTGTTTTTATACAATAGTTTAATAAGATGTTAATATTTAGTAGCTTGCACAATATATCCAGTTACTTAGTGTATTTTTGTCCTTTTTTTGTTCCTGTGAATAGGCATGTTTGAGCAAATCAGTTCGGTTGAATGAAGGACCTGTGTCCTTACTGAATGAATCATTGTTTTTGAAATGATCGTTTTAATGATTCAGTCAGTGACTCTTTCATAAAGGCAGTCATTTGTCACCACCTATTGGTGTAACAAGGTAACCTGCAGAAAGAATCACTGAATTTTTTGACAGAGTTGTGCATTTGTATTGTTAAAGCCTTAATAGCATGAGTAGGTTTATACAAAAACTAGCCTATGCAAAATGAGACTTTTTTTTTTTTTTTTTTTTTTTGGAAATTTTGGCTCAATTATTTATTGTATAATTTATTACAAAAAAACAAGTGCAATATACAACATGTCTTTACAACATGTTGTCATATCATATCATAATCTTGTGTAACCTAATAGAAAATGTATAAGTTTCACTTTTCACTTTTTCACTTCATGAAGCAAACCTTGAACGCTTCAGATGTTTTAATATTCTTCAAGCTTTTCTGAGCCGTCGCTCACAGAATAGAGAGCACATATCTGCTTCTGTGAGATAAAACCCCACGGATACTGTTTTCTTGGACATAAATGGAATTGAATAGAGTTTGTGTGTCTGCAAAATCCAATTAAAGCGAGTATTTGCCTGATGTGTTTTAGGCTGTAATCACTGAGGGATGGGAGCAGCTTTCATTTTATTCTGATTTCAAATGACCAGGTTTGTCACAGCTCTTACATTTTTGTTTGGGTGAATATACAGTAGACGTTACCTGGTGTTTTATTAAGAAGTGAATGAATTTAGCTAAAACACAAAGACTCCTAATTGGCCCTGTGTGAATATTTGATGTCGACAAATGAATCACACCACTGTAGGCCATTGTGCCATAGTACCTGCACCATTCAAAAGTTGGACACACATTACTGCATTTGTTTCTTTTTATGAAATTAAATACATCTTTTATCTGTTTGCTTTGCGATTGGTCACAAATACAGCATTTAACGGTTAGAATCTGACTCTAGATCAGCAGAACTACAGCAGAAGGGTGTGTTATAGATAAATGATCCATTAGTAACATCTTTCCAGATATATCCATTCAGAATGTTATTTAAGTTAGATGTAATTTGCAAACAGTTTAGATGAGCAAACAGTGGTATTTTTTCAAACCCATAGAAACAGTAACTAGATAACCTTACCTTTGCTTTGACAGGAGACTGGTATCCAGGAAGCAAGGTTTAATTCACGTGATTAATTAGCATGACATTAGTGAGCAGGTTTAACCTTCTTTTATTATAAACACGCCTGAAGCAGATGATGAGGAAGTCCTTTTAAACCAAGACGTTTAATTAGTGATTCATTTGATGAAGCCTTGTAAGCAGGCTAATTATTTTGCTATCAGCAATTATTTCATCATGCGATGCAGCATCTTTGTGTTATGAGTTCAGAATGGTTATAGTATCTCATCACAAATCCTTGTTTTAATAAAATACATCTGAGCGAAACGTATATACTTTCACCTCAAATAAGTAATCCATTCATTTAGAGGATGTTTTCCTTCCAACAATGAATGTGATGCTGCATTATAATGAAGAGAAAATTAATGTTGTGGATGCCATCTACAATTGAGCTTGTCATGGTGACATTTTTTTAAAAATCTTTTTACCTTTGATTGCAAGTGTTTGACAGTCGATAGGTTTTTTGCAACACCTGCTGCAGTTAAACACTCCATTCAGGTCTATTTTTATATGTGCGAATTGTATGTGCATCGATTTGACGTATATACACAGCCATATGATCTATATCTGTCTATGGGCTAACTGGCAGCAGCTTTAATGTTAAAAGCTAATGGTTGTGTGCTCTGTTAGCTGTCAGAGAGCATCTCTCTCTCTCTCTCTCTCTCTCTCTCTCTCTCTCTCTCTCTCTCTCTCTCTCTCTCTCTCTCTCTCTCTCTGTCTATCAGAAAGAATCCTCAAGTGTCTTGTTGTTGCGAGGTGTGAGGTTAGGAGTTGGTCACATTGTCAGAGTGCATGTGTGTTTGTTAGCTTGCTTTTGTGTGGGTGAGGATGTCCGATGTCACTATTGGTTAAGAAGGGGGGCTCTTAGTGCATTTGACCCCAAGAAAAAAAAATGTCCACAAAAAAAAAAAACAAGTGACAGTTTGCTTTGATCATGCTAAATCCCTCTAGTAATATCACTCAAGGTCAGAGTCTTTCCTACCCTATAGTTCTCTCTCTTTCTCTCTCTCTCTCTCTCTCTCTCTCTCTCTCTCTCTCTCTCTCTCCTTTTCTCTCTCCATCCCTGCTCTTTGACATCTCCGTAGAGACAGAAATACAGCGTAGTTATGATTGAAGAGATGGCCTTCTGTCAACATGACATTGAACTTTATTTTAAAATTTTCTGAAGAAAATGTCAATGCGCTGTGCCTGTGCATAACTATATGCGAATATCACCACCATCTTGGAACAGTCAGTTAGGAGACCTTGGTAAATGGAAGTTTATAACTTTATGTATCAGTGAGTCATTAAATCATTAATTTAAACGATTTGTTCTAAAACTCTGATTCTTTTATTTAAAAAAAAACAGCTAACCATTCTTATGAGTGGGTCATTCACTCAACCGAATTGATTTGTTTCAAAATGATGATTCTTTCAGAAACAAAACAAGAGACTGTCTTTAGGCCACGTGTCCACCAAAGCGTGCTTTGGGCGCTTGAGAGCGTTTTGGCAGCGCATGTTTTTTTTTCCGTTGAGACGTTTCGTTGCTATGATGCAGAATATCTGCAGCACAGTTTACTTGTAACTGATTTCACAGATAATTTGTTTCATACTAAAAATGTATTTTTCATCCATTTTGTTCGGTTAGCTCTGCCGGTTGATGTCGTTGTACAGAAAGTTGTGACTGTTGGTCAGTGTGGTATTAGTCCCGCCCCTCCTCCACTGTGATTGGACGGTTGGCTAAAAAGTGACAGTGATGAATGCTGCGTTTTATCCAAAGTTGAACTTTTTCAACTCTCGACGACCAGTAAGAAACGCTGGACACTCGGCGCTTCAACGTGAAAAAAACACTCAGCACCTCGTCACGTTCATTGTGCTTAAAAAACGCGGCGCTCCCGTTGAAAACAATTGAAAACATACGCCAGGCGCGTAGAAAAACACTTTGGTGGACACATGGCCTTATGCATGAATCATTGAACGTATTGAATCATTAGAAACGCATGTTGCAGTAATTCTGCTGTGGGTTTGTTTGGATTTTTTGTTTTTCTTGACAGTAAAAACAAGAAAATTATTTGGCAATGTTGTGTCTAAAATGTAAGTTGCTTAACTACTTGTTTATTGAACGTTTGTGTAAGAGAAATATCCCATCCTTGCCTGCTAATCACATCTGTGGTGATAAATGGCCATAACACACTGTTTCTTGTGTGATATTTTATATAATCGTATGTAGTATAGGGCTCTTTCCAAACATGATCTGAAGAGCTCCACAAGCCATGATGTTTTGTGTTGCATGGGAAGAGTGCATAATTCAAAGTTGAGAATCACATCTATTAAATGTTGTGACTTTGAGGCGTACGGTACCCTATACATGCTAAAGTGAAAGTGACACGGCTTGCCTGAAATTCACTTTATTTTCCATGCCTCATGTTTTTTGCATACCACATAGCACCTTTTGCCCCACATAATGTGCAAGATTAAGTGATTTGATGAGATCTCTAGAGGAAGTGCCATGCCATTAATCGAATAATTGATCGGTCCTCCATTTGCAGCTTTCTAATTGGCTGGTGAATGTTCGTGAGCCCTGGATTTAAAACCCCCAGCGGGTCAGCTCTCTGAGGAGTCTGACACGCAGTTATTGAGAAAGAGGCTGAAGTGTTTGCATTTAGGTGTTCCTGTCAAACTGCAAAAGCCTGTGTCATTCAGTCCTGCCATGGCCTTTTCACTGTTCCAACCGTATTCTGTCAGAAATCAGATAAGTGCCTTTGAAACATCTGTCATATTGTTACAAATGTCAATCATGGAGGAGCTGTTCATGAATAAACCCACCTGTTGAATTATGGATGTTGAGGAGTGAATCATGATATTTTTTTCCTTCTCTGTGCAGTGGCTAATGCTCTCCCCTCTCTCTCTCTCTCTCTCTCTCTCTCCCCCTCCCCCTAGGCCGTTTCCATCAGAGGACACTGCGCTGAATGAAGATGATGTGTACCGGAGCTTGGAGGAGTTGGCTGAGTAAGTGTTTTAAATCATAGAAAAAGAGTATAATGGCAATTAGCAAAAACAAGGTGGGATTTAACCCAAAAGTTGTGTGTAAAAAGTCCAGGCTCTACATGATAATCCACCCATTTTTACTTTTCATCAGGGCTGGCTCTAGTGCTTTGGTTGCCCTAGGCCCCTAAACAAACTAAACACAAATGCTCTTATAATCACTCCAAAACTTCAACAAGTTAAAGGATCATCTGTAATAAATTGTTCATACAAATTCTACAAATAACGTTGAAATTAGTGTGTGTGTATATACACGTGGTTAGTCATGGGGCATACATGGCATTTAAACATTTTAAAATGGCAATAAAAAGGCATTCAATTTCATTTGAAGATACCTACAGTAACCCTGTATTTATCTATTTATTCATATACCATCACATCTTGTGTCCTTAGTGTCTAGCTGGTGTAATCACTTGCACAAATTGCCAGGCGTTAAACACTCTTTTGGATACCATGCTCAGAGTATGGCTGGCTGGTAGTGTGGGCGTTAAGATGACGAGTGAGCGAGAGTGAGGGAGGGGGTTGTGTGTTGACAGCCCTGATTCTTGGCTGATTAATTATGAATAATTAGGTAGCAGGGCGGATAGGTGTCATTCATCTGCAGAGAACTGAGTGACACAGACGTGTTTGCACAGGCTGCATACATTACACTTCTCACAATGCCTGTAAGAAACATCTGTGGAGCTGTAAATTGAGATGAACCTCTGTCACAGCTCAAACGGTTGTGTACATGCATTTTTGAGCCAATATGAAGCGAGGGTAGACCATGTTTTATTCAGGGCAAACAAAAACAAGGCACTTAACAACTATTTTTAATGTGAAGCACATCCTGCTCTATATTTTCGCATTCACCCAAGTTTCTTTTTTTTGCTCTAACGTGTTTATAACTTCAAACAGTCCTGCCAACTGAAAGCTGTGTGGATATATTTACCTACGGAGGAAAAATAAGGTTACAATCTGTGCGATTCACTTAAATTTGATTGTGAACGTCTTCAAGATTGATCACGCTACAGATTCATCAGATTTCAAACCCCTTTCCTGGACCATGCATATTATTATCACTACCTTGTTTTGATGGAGGGTTTTTATAGGACATTATAAAGAGAAATGATGGTTGGAAAGGGACAGGATCAGGATATGACACCTGGGAACCAAGCAAAAAATTGGCTATAACATCTATATTGCTGTAAATGAATGGTGTGGCTCTTAGTGAACAGGACTGCTTTGTAATTTACACATGAGAGCAACAAAGAAACATGCAAAATGGTGGTATTGTCTGCTCCATGGTGTCCCTATTTCAGAGCTCAACAATAAGGTTGACCCGGGGCACTGAGTTTTAGGCCAGTTAGACTGCGATACCTAGCCTGGTTAACGCCAGACCATGTATCGTTGAGAATGGTCTGGTAACCACATATTCATTTTGAGCCCAGAGCCATGTTATTGGGTGCTACGAATGTCTATCAAATGCGCCTGTACTGGTGCATCTTATCGGTTCAATGAGACCAGATGACGTATGATACATTGAGAATGAATAAAATCGCACTGCGGCAAGGTAGCATGGGGAAACCCAGGCTAATAATTGCATGACCAGGCTAATACAATGATTTTTCATTGAGAATGTAACTTCGCATCCGCTGCCTTGATGGATCCATAGATGAACTGCTTCGGTATGTCGCATACGTCTTCATTGTCTTGCTGCTCCCTCCCCGTTCTGTGATTTGGTTTCCTATCTAAGGTTAAAATCTGATTCATGGTGTCCAGGCTGCCTAGCAGCGTGAATAAAATCACACTGCGGCAAGGCAGCATGGGGAAACCCACGCTACTGCGATACCACTGAAAATATTACATTTCATTGATCTTGTACATCTGTACTGAAATATTTTCTTTTTTTAGCTTGATTTTACAGTATTATGGCAAATTATGATGATTTGTCACCAAGATAATGTTATCTAGCTGGGAGACATAGATGAGGTATTATTAATAATTAAAAAATGACCTGACAGTCAAAAGTAACAGTCTATTCTATCTAATTCTATTTTCAAAACATCAAGGCATAAAAAAACACATTATCACCAAATGTAAGAATTCCATCAACGTGCTCCAAACTCTCTCACACTATCCCCGCGGCATTGAGCCATCTTTACCGTTTAGTCTTGGTCTATGAGAGGCCATATGTGGGCCTTTGACATTTACATTGTCTACGGCCTCTTGCACTGATCCGTATCCGACTTCAAACGCTTCCTGAGATGGCCTCAAGTGATTGCTGACCTCTTTCAAAGTTCTTGATATCCCTCTGCCATCTGACCCCTCTTTACATGCAGATTCATGTTGAAACGCAAATCGGTGCCAAATCTAATAGAGGTTAAACCCACAGCCAGACCACAAGCACTCTCTGCGCTGCCAGTGATGGAACAGTGAATATGAGCAAATGAATGAAACTACCCATCCATGCACCCATGACCTTTTACAGCCATAAATACGGTTCAATTCCAGCACAACACTGCCGTCTTATTAATGGAAAGGTCCCTGATATGATGTGCCGGGACACAGTTTAACAAGCACTTTCATCAGGCTGTTCGGAGCTCTCTTAATTGGACTGTGATATCATTGTCTGCTTTAATGGAAATATGCATGAAAGGGTTTTCTGCAGTGCTACTGAAGCTCATTCATGTAAGCCTTGTGTCTGTTTCTATTAGATTGGAGATGTTTCTCAACATTGTGCCATATGTGGGGCCAAAGAGAGTGGGAATGAGAAGGCTGGTGACTGTCCTCAATAATATTGTCGTGTTTTTCAGCTATTGAAGTAAAGAGTGTGGTTCGTTTGAAGAGATAAAAGGCAGAAAGTGCTAATCAAGGTGCTTTTGTGAAAGGTTAATGATGTTGAAGAAGCTCTTTAGTCGGTTTTGCTCTTCAGTGTGAGATGAGCCAGCAGTTTTAAATGAAACTGTGAGGAATTTAAGTACAGTCAAGTTAGGGGTGTGCGACATCGACAAAACAATTGGATCTTGATATTTTCTGTGATTTTATTCATAATGATGTTTAGAGTATATTTTGCTGAGTGTGCTGGTACCTTGGCCGATGTAGGACTATACTGGACAGCTGACTCCTAAAGCTTTTGATATTCTTCATCTTTTGTGTGGTGGTCAGTTCGCAGCAGTGACAGAATTGAACTTTTCCAATAAGCTTAAATTGATTTTTACCTCTTATGGCCGTTTTATCTTTATAAATCATATTTCTAAACTAAAAATGTGTATGCATCACCTTTTGTGTAAAAATTATTACATTTAATCAATAAATTCAATAAGAATAATAAAGCACAAAAGGGCTTTTACCAATCAAATGAAATCAGTGTCAACAAAATGTATCTTTGCAATGCAGAGGAAACAGAAGCTTCATTTGAATTGACATTTAGATGCATTTTCACAGTCTGGATTAAAAATTTAAACATTTACATTTTCTTTTATTTTAGATACTTTGTTGTTTTCTGCGAGTTGCACATGATGGGCCAATGTGTTTCTGAAATGATGTTACAGTAATTCAGAAGGGGAGCGCCATCACAAACTATTGCGTTTATTTTACACACACCTCTGTTTTTTGACATGTTAACGGGTACTGAGCCAGTGACAGTGGTCTTGAGGTGTGCACTGATCCGAACTGACTACTGTTGGTAATTGAGTGGTATAAATATGTCAGGGTTGTTAATTTTGGGTTATTATAAATCTGTGTTCACATCCAATCCAGCCATACTGGATTTCTCAGCATCGTTGTCACTTTCCACTATATTTCATGTGTTCATCCAAAAATTGGCAAAGCATGAAATTGTTCAATTTTAGCAAGCAGGCTGCCTCTTTCTCCATCAAATAGCAATCAGATGTTTGGATGTACATCATGTCAGCAATGATTTACTTCATCCTAACTGGTTGCTACTATGTTACATTCTCACCTGAGGCATTGTGGGTCGTGGAGCCTAAGGCCAAAGCACTCTCTAAGCCTTCGAGAGGTACAAACTACTGCCATTGGCACCTGTCTCTCCTGGCACTTCAGATTGAACTCTGCAGCCAGCGACCTATTTAGTCAAGATGATGGACAGGTTTGGAAATTTAACTAACATTCAATAGAATCCTCAAATAAGGTGCAGAACATCTCAACCAATTAGTTTGCTGCTCCAAGAATCCACGTTTCCATCAACATGCCACATCACTGTTTATTTAGCCATTCTATAGGTAGCATATGACAAAGATTTCAATAAAAAGAACATTTTCTTACACTAAAAAATTGGCATTTTGATTTTATTGTACAATTAATTTATCTTCATTTAAAACATATTTTATTTGACTTAGTCAATGTTTTTTTAAGTTATTTCAGCTCAGTTAAGTAGATTCATTTATATTAAAGTCTGTGATTTTGAGTAAATGGTAAAGACCTGTTAGTGTTTGACATTCATTTATTTACGTTCATCGAAAAGACTTTCTGCAGCTTTCACATGCAAATAGGTAGTTTCTTGATACTGTGCTAGCATTAGCACAGCTATTGCTTATTGAGTGAAGCAACATATATTATAGTCCTAACATGCAGCCACCCACAACCTAACCAAAAGTTCTACTCTTCAGCACTGTGCATGGTAACCACAAATATTTCAACATGACAAACTATTTTAAATGCCGTAACTGAACATTAAACATAACCAGGTCTTTCCCACCACTCAAAAATACATAAAATAACACTTAATTTGAACATTTACTCTTCTGATCCAGCTCTGTGCAACGCATGCTGAGAACTAGCAATCCTAGTCCCAGTTTGAGTTAATGCAACTAAAATTATTCATGTAGCCCCAGCCAGATTAGTCATTTTGACAGACAGGGTCATAAAAATTCTGTCAGAATCTATTATTACTCATCATTTTAATTTTCGTATTTGAATAATGAGCCATTTAATAGGCAAAATTGAATAAAAATGAATGAGCA